CTGAATGTGCTCGGTTCTTCAGAACAGGCAAACTGTGGGACAAGGAGAGTAACGTCCACGTCAGAGTGTTTGGCCAACAGAATGGCAAGCTGTCTGTTGATGGTGGACAAGCCTCCCATTGACGAACTCCACTCACTGCCAAGGAGAGTCACCTTCAATGCTGTGGCAGACTTCATTGGATTGATTTCACTTGCTTCATCATGTGATCTAGCAGCTACTTTTGAGGAGGACAAACTCTGAAGAAAAAAAGGTCATATAAGATTATGATGATTACATATTTTTACATTGATCAATACTTTACCATGGAAAAGCCAAAAAGTATAAAATTCAAAAATAATTTTATCTTGTTAGAAATTCTCTGACATATTTAAAACTGAAGAAAACCAATCAGGGCTCCCTTTCTCAACACTGATAACAGCCCCATTGATATTCACATTAAGTAACTTAGAGGAACAAAGCAAAGATGAAATCAAGGCTAGAAATCTTTGCTTCAAAGATCATTACAGTCAATTATACCTGGCTTCTTCTTTTCAAGAACCATTTCTTCAATCCACAAACTGGTTTTACCATATCCCAAGGTTTTCGCTTACAGATGTCCGGTTGACCTTCATTTGCATCAATGAGGTGGAGGCAGTCCTTGTGTGTGCAAGTGGTTTTCATGTGGTCTGAGCATGCACGACGCATTTCTTCTGTCCCTTGATGACAGTTAGGACATGCAACACACAGCCTATACTGCAGTCCCCTCAGGTATGGCATTTCTTGTGACAAATTCTTTAGGGTGTCTTCAAGAAATTCACGAACAAGAGTTGCTAGTTTGACAGAGTTCTGTCCTACAACCTGATGACTTTGTGCTTTTTGTCTCAAGATTACCTTCACAAATCCTGTTTTGCATATGAGGACAAAATCATGAATATCTTTTCCAATGATGAACCATGCTCCATTTTGGTACAGGGTGGGTTGATGCGTGGCCCATGTCTTTGAACACCAACGAATGGATCGCGAGACAAGCTGCAAGAAGAGACCATGAGGGACAAAGCCATGGACAAAGAGGAGATACAATGGACATGGATCAGTTGGTGATGGTTCCATCTTACAGAGTTCTACAGGTGATGACTTCAACTGAGCTGGTACAAAGTACTTCTCCTCATTTGGGGAAACTGAGAACTTAGCGATCAAACCAAATTGCTCCATCATGTCCAGAATGTCTTCTCTAATGATTCCTGGTCCAATAAAGCTGGAGAACACGTAATCAACATGTTCCATGCTAAGGATGCCACTTCCTTCAAGCTCCCGCCAGTGATTAGCATATCGAGCATTCTACAAAATATATACTGGGTTCCTTTTGAATGTTTTCAACATGTGTGTACAAGAACTAGAAAATCAATGTATCGAAATGGTCAGAAATTACACTCTTAATGTGCAATTTTGTATCTTAGGCTCCTCAGAGGTGATTATTAGTTGTTATTCACCACCGCAGAAGCCATTTAGCGTAAGCAAAAAGAACTGTTCATTTGTGTGACTACAATTATTGTTAGTGGTAGCAAGTTAGTACAAGTCTCTTGTAAAGTAAAAAGGCTAAATCAGTTTATGACTTGAAAAGCTGCAAAAGGTACATGAAATAACTTGAGGTCCAACAATTGTAAAGATCAAAGAGTTACAGCTGTTGCATTAGTTGCTGATTTATTAAGAAAAAGTATCACTCTCATTTTCTGTTGGTCTAAATTATTGAACATTTCTAAGTTGTCCTTTCAAAAATGAAATTTTTTTTGTACCTGTTTATTGAAAGGTGGAATGGTTATCAGCTGTTTGAACAGATCAATCAACCACTGAGCCTTCAGTACAACTGTACTGCGGTGCTTGATTATCATCCCCAGGCCATGGTAAAAACTGATCATGGACTCAAACTCTTTTGCATCTTTCATGAAACAATCTTTCTTTGCATAGTGCTCAAGTTGTTGCAGATTTCTGTGATAAATCTGTTTAGCCACCAAAGCTTCAATCACCTTTTCAAACAAAAACCATCTAGAAGGCAACAGAATAATTAAGATGTTTTAGGGTTTAAAATTGGATATTAACTTCAGTCAGACATGTGCTTATTTGTAGTCTTCCAGTGTTAACTCATCTATTTCCTTGGTCTAGCTTTCTCCACACATTAGGAGAATTCAAACATGGTTATATTTTTCACATAAACAATCTCAATTCAAAGAGCTGTGCCTTCTCAAATATCCATCAGACATTCACACCTTTCTAAAAAACACAATATTGTCACGATGTCATGAATAAGAGTTTTATTTGTTGGCACTTATATGACTGCTGTGTATTTGTACAGTCTTATGTTTTAAGAATTTTGATGAACTTCAAACTAGGGTAGGTACAATATTTTTGTGTTCATATACATTTAAATGCATATACAGTAATACTGAAAACACTGACTGCTCTTCAAAAAACTTTTCATAACCACTTGAATACATGAATAACATTAATCCCAAAGTCCACAAATTGAGGTTTGCCAAATAAAATGTTACTTTCATTTACCTGACAGGTATTTTCTCCCCCATATAAGGCTCCTGCCTCAACACCTCCAGGATTTTGTTCTGCAATTCTTTTATTCCATCTGCTTTTCCTTCTTCCTCTGCTGGATATGTTTAGAAAATGAATGCAAAACATAATGTAACACAGAAACATGTGTTTACAATGAGAATAGTTTGTATCATACATGTGTGATTGCAGATATTTTATGGCTGACAACATAGCTAAGATGATAAACTGAGTTCAACTCTTCAAATCATCTTCTGTTCCTTATTTCAAAATTTGAAATTAATGGATCTGTCAGGAAACATTTACAGGCCCAAGTATGGTGATGCTGGTACATAAAGTAACTGAAAGCTAAGAAGACTGCAGCTAATAAAAAAATTAAACAACTCTAACTTAAGCTTGCACTATAAGCCTGAAGTCATTCAACCAAGACGGTATCCTTCCCTTAATTACCACTCCCTCTTAAACATTCTGCGTGTCTACCAACCTTTTAAAATTATGACACACAACACAACTGCTGGATGACATGTAAATGTAAGTCAAATAATAATTATTGCATGCTCAATGCTTGCCAACAATCTACATCAATCTATAAACATTGATATCAATTTACCACAACAAAATAGCTTTCCAGTTGCTGAGAATTTGTGATAATTGTTAAGCCTGCTAAATAGACAGGGTAGATGAACTGACATTAAGAAACAATAGCTTTTTCATAAGAGTTCCTCCTCCTTCTCCTTCTCCAAATATGTAAACAAAGATCAGGTGCACTGTTCTGATCAAACAAGATTGATGGCAGTATCATAGTCAAATGAATGGCTTCATTGGCTCTTGATGCTCTACGTTTCTACAACCGGATATTTTAACTCGTTTGTCCAAGAATGGGACAATTACTCACTTTCTATGATCATGGAAAAGATAAAACCAAAATAAGATATGGTCATTCTGCATTTCAAGAACTGGCAAGTATCAACCAAACGTGGGATTGATACTTCAAACTGCTCATAACAGAATGGTAAACAAACGGTTTAAAGTTTCTCTGGAATGTTGAGCAGATAGATTTTTTTTTAAAACAGACAACTGAAGGAAACTGTTTAAACGTTTTTGCTACAGTGTTAAACAGATGCAAATTTTTTTAAACGGACGCAAAATTTCTTAAACGGACGCAAAATTTCTTAAATGGACTAGCACAGCGCTTAAATGTTTTAGCAAAAGGGTTAGACGGATGCAAATTTTTTTAAATGGATGAGCAAATTGTTTTAACACTTTCATGAACCATTTAAATGGATTTAAGCAGATAGTAAACGGTTTTGCAGTTTAAATGAAAAGCATTAATGTCCATTTTCCCATGGAGGGTCAGAAATGGGTCTTTGATTAAACAAAAAAATGGTCACAAATTAAGTGTTCCAAGAATTGATGCAAAGACAAGCTAGTAACCAATTATAAAACCATCAATTACTGCAAGTAACACATTGTCAAGGATACAATATGACATCAAATATCTTACCTGTTTTATGTTTTCCTCTCAGCTTTTGAAACTTCTGGATAAATTTCTTGATCAAGTTTGGTCTCTGAGTGTTGTCAATGCAGAATAAGGGTTTGACCACATGCTTCTCATATTCCATACCAGAAATTCTCTCCTGTATTTGTTTCTTTATTACTGCTATGTCTTCAACTGGTTTGTCAGCATGTGTTCCAACAATAAACACTGGGGGACGGAGGTAGGGCAGCTTATGTTGTGCATCATCATCTGGGTCATCAGTTGCCAGGGCAACACTGTGTACTGTAGCCAGCCATGACAGCAAATTCTCCATGTTTGTTTCATTGTTAGGGTTTTCCAATTTCACATCATTACTACCTTGTCTCATGCAGGGCTCAGCTGTAGCATCCAAAGGCTTGCTGAGATTGTGCACCAATATGTACAGTGCTCGCTGTGATAAGAAGATAGGATGGCTGGCATAGTACAGGTGCTGCCCTGCAAAGTCCCATAAATCCATTGTGTAATAGGATTCTTCTTGGAATAAACCACTTTTGATGTCTTTGCCTTTGAGATACTCCAACCACTGATGAACATGCTTCTCAGTATCAGGGGGTTGAGCAACATCAATAATTACCTCGGGCTCCTCTAAAATGCAGTCCATTGAGTGTTCAATGCTAATGTTGTCCATAGCATCTATTGATGGGTAATCTCCTTTATCCTCAACCTAAGTAAAGTATCAAATAAGGGGAAATTATTTACTCTCAGTACCACACTGATGCAGTCTCACCAGCAAACTCATTACACATCTCAAATAACTGTGTCAAAGTTTGATGTAAATTAGATAAAATGAGAGTACATGTACTGGGAGGGAAATTATTGTTTAGACTTCAAGCAGTTCCCTGTTTTTTGGCTAAGACCACTGCAAAGTAAAAAAAAATCAGTTAAAAAAATTGAACAATTTTAATTTTTGCTTCACTTTAAGGCTCACATAATCTTCATTTGACATTAAATATTTAAAACTATACTGTCATAAAAAGCTGCCTTAAACATGTGTGTGAAGAACATTTTTAAAATTCTGATATTACCTTTTTTTTGCCATGTTTGTAACTACCTAAAGATCCCTTTTCAAAATCTGCAGGTGATATGTGGGCTGAATCTTTTTCAAAATCTTCTTTTGAACTTTTATCTGAGTCTTTTTGTCTCAGCTTTTCTTGCTGCATAGACATTTTTCTAGCATGATGATCTTCTTGAGTAAAAAAAAGTTTCTCTGCAACAATCCATGCCACATCTTTAGAACATTCCAATAGTCCTGGTTTATTCTCACCAATGGACTGCCAGTTCCTTGCAGCTTGGTCAACATCAATTTCACACTTTGAAGGATCCACTTCAATCCCCTCAGTGCTCTGTTCTTCAGAGTCAAATGGAAGGCCTAGCAGACTCTTCTTTAAACTGGTTTTACCTGCTCGATCCTGACCAATGAGTAATATTCTGCCACGGTAAACCATGACATATCCATCTTGCAAAGCCCTTTCATAAGCCAGCTGTGCTTTAAGTCTCTCTCTCATTGGGCCTAATAAGAAAGAGTTTTAACAACACAAAGAAAAAGGTAGTTTGCGCATTGATAAATTTCTAAAAATTAATTGAAAAAGAAAGCAAACTAAAGGTAAAGGTTGACAAATCAACAACTATAAATGCCTAACATGAATAATGTTGGAGTTAAAGGCTGGTATATATAAACTTAACCATCAAAATTGTTTATTTTTTTCTGATCTTAATGCATTTATTCCACTATTACATAAAAGTTACACATAATAATTCTTCTGGCATAAAATGTAGTGATGAGTTTGAGAACATGCACACCAAATCTAAACTGACTCAATGTTTCAGAACAATAAGAATTAGAACCACTTGTGACTGATCACACAAGAGAGAGGCAAGGACTTAAATCAATTCTGCCGAGTAGTGAGGAGTCAATAACCAATTAATTGATTGTGTACGAAAAAAAAAAAGCACATATTTCCAAAGGGTAACAACTGTAAGTTTAAAAATAATTACACAAAAAACACCTGCAGTGTAAATTCTATGGAAATAATAATCAGGATTCAGTCATGCTAATAACAAATTCAAGCTATATGCCTATAACTTAATTCACAAAATTTAATCACATTAGTTTATGAATTGTGTTTGATAAGCCACAAGTTACTAAATTTTTAAACACTTCAAATTAACCAAATGGAAAGCAAAAATAAAAAAAAAATTCCTAACAGTGAATTAACTTGGGATACATTTTATCATTTCGTAATTCCATTCCAATAGAAAGAAAACTCAAAACAATAATTCCTAACTGCGTAGAATGATTTGTAACAACATTTACTCTCTTGATTCCACATCAAATCATATTTCCTTATTGATGAACTTAAATTTCAATGTCAGCCAAATTGTTAAAATAAAGCTTTTCAATATTAGAACAAAAACTTCCATTACAAATGTCATGTATTTCTCAAGTGATGCCAACTTTGTTAAACCACACAAAAACTGTGACAGTATTTACAGTTTAACTATCGCCAGCTACCTGTAATAATCAGTAACAAGCAGAATAACCACTTGCAAGTCAATCATTAGAACCAATTTAGTAAATGCACACGTCACAACAATAATGTGAACAGAAATTTCCTTTACTCACCTTGGAGATCTGAATATACTCGGTCAATTATTCCTCTATCTTCTAGCTCCACAACACTTCTCATTCCTTCAACTGTAAAAGGATTCCCATTTACAAACAACGATTTGAGTTTCTTCAGCTGTTTTATGGCTGGATTTAACACAGTCAACTGGTTGTAACTCAGATCCAGTCCCTCCAGTGCCACCATCTCACCAATAGCATCAGAGATGGTGGTTAGTTTGTTATGTGAGATGTACAGCCGTTTGAGTTTCTTCAGCTGTGTTATAGCTGGACTCAACACAGTCAACTGGTTGTAACTCAGATCCAGTCCCTCCAGTGCCACCATCTCACCAATAGCATCAGAGATGGTGGTTAGTTTGTTATGTGAGATGTTCAGCACTTTGAGTTTCTTCAGCTGTTTTATAGCTGGACTCAACACAGTCAACTGGTTGTAACTCAGATCCAGTCCCTCCAGTGCCACCATCTCACCAATAGCATCAGAGATGGTGGTTAGTTTGTTATGTGAGATGTCCAGCCATTTGAGTTTCTTCAGCTGTTTTATAGCTGGACTCAACACAGTCAACTGGTTGTAACTCAGATCCAGTCCCCACAGTTCCACCATCTCACCAATAGCATCAGAGATGGTGGTTAGTTTGTTATGTGAGATGTACAGCCATTCGAGTTTCTTCAGCTGTGTCAAACTTGCTGGGAATATGGACAGCTGGTTTCCCCTTACATCAAGGACCGTAATATTATTTAGTTTTCCAACATTTTCAGGTATTGTTTTAAGTTTATTCCATGACAGGTCAAGTTTGTCCAACTCAGTTAATTCCTGCACCGCTTCAGGCAATTCAAGCAAATCCCACTTTGACAGATTTAATGTTTTTCTTCCGAAATAATCTGTTACAATCTTACTTCTCAGCTTTTCTTTAGAAATATGGGAATCCATGTCTTAGTAATGTAACTGTCAGAACGAAAAAAACAAGCTGTCATTAAAGGTGAGTAACTTGAACTAACTTTCTTGTGGCATTTATAATAACAATCGAACCAAAAATTGGCAAGAATGAGGTTTATAATTTAACATCTACTGAACCAAGGTAATGATTTATTCCTCGTAATACATTATCTTTGGAAACCATCCACCCTTCAGTGTTCTTTTAAACATTTTGAGTAAAGGACCGGATGCTTATGCGTAAAGGGTCTTGAGTTATTTATTTTCATCAGAAACATTTCAACTTAAATCTAATTGTATAATTTTTGTGTTCATAAACAATTGCTTGAGTTATAGATGTTAACGAAAAGGCAATTATGAACAAGAAAGATATTTGAATTTAAATACACTGAGTTTTCCAAGCTGTTTTTCCAAAAACATACGAATTACTACTTCCATTTCAAAATTAATATCCAACAGGAAAGAAATAATTAGGGCAAATCTATGGTTGGTTTTGTTTTCATGTGATAACCTAAGACAGTTGTAAATAAACCAAAGCATGAATGATTTCTAAGCTGTTGATATCAGACCAAGTTGCTAATTTTCAGACCTGTTGTTTGATTTTATCCTCTGTAAGCTATTTTTACTTGCAATTAACAGAGTGAATTCATCAGAATATGGTCCTAGTCATTTAATAAAGACTGATTGGATAAGTCCTTCTCACTGACATATTCACTGTTTTGATACAAAAATAATCAGAATGAGAGCTCTTTGTTTTGTTTGCTTTTTTTTTTTTTTTACAGAGTTTGTCTAGCAGCATGATGGTTTTAAGATTACAATTTTCAATTGAAGACATGTTTTGCATGAAATATCATCCAAATCACCCATAGTTGCTGTACTCATTATGTTATGTATTGAATGTTGTTGATGAAATAAAAAAATAACAAAGAGTAGAGAAAACTGGTTTTAATTTCTTATTCATGTTTATCAATAAAAGCTTAACTAAGAAGGGAATGTGAAAAGAAAAAGTATATATCAATTAACTGAGGATAGTGATAAAGAACTCAATTGGTACTAAGCAGAAAAATGAGGAATTGAAAAAAGTGTCCATAATTAGAACTGGCCACTTACGAGAGTGTCCATTAGCAGAGAGTTGACTTTAAAATAAATTAAGATCCTTCATTAATTAACAAATCTATCAGGGACTGTCTCCAAAACTTTAAAAATTGTGCCTGGCTTCTTGAATATTTAATTTTCAGCAAAATGAATTCAAGTTAAAAATTTTACAACTGCAATCATTAACCAACATCAAAACTCATGTATAACATATTTATTTAACCCTTCACCTTGCATGAGTGACCAATACAGGAATTCTCCTTACAAAATATCAACACAACATCAAGCAGATATTGTAAGTGATATGAACAAAGGAAAATATCAGTTAGAGGATTATTAGATGATCCAATACCAAATTCTCCAAACTTACATCATAAGAATGGTATGGCAAACAGTAAGGAGAATTACTAAAGAGATCTTGGGAGTGAAAGGGTCAAGGGAATGAGAGTGTTTACCTAAGAACAAAATAATTCATGTCCCCAAATGTGTACTGAATGCATTTGTTGCTTTTTCAAACAAACAAGTAATGGTTAAAAAAAACTCAGGGTTGACTTGCAAAAAAAAAAAATCAACAATTTTAAAAACCATGGATCTTTAATATAGGCTACCCTGTCTCAGTGCAATAAAAAAATCCTTACTTCCTTTTCAGGGCTTAATAATTTGCAAATATCAGAATTAAAAAATGTTGAGGAGGAAAAACTTTCATCTGAAAATATAACTTTTCATCTGTTAATCAAAACTATAACAAAATTCTTCAACATGATTGGTTATCTCCAGCCCAATTTGAGCACCTATAGTACAGTGTATGTGTCATGCTTGTAATTGGACCGTGTTATAGGACCATTAAAGGGACAATTATCATGTCATGCCTGTGGAAGGGGACAGAATGTGTGATGTGCACACACTGTTGTCCTGCATTTTGCCAAGTTAATTGTTGTTGTTGTTGTTTTTTATGAAAATGTATAATGGTGTCTATAGTTTCTTTCTCAGATTTTATTATATTGTGATTAATTGATAACAGTCATCTGATTTGTTAATCAAGAGTATTATTACAAACAGAATTGGACAACAGGAAGTCCTGTGAACAACCATGGCAGAAACATGGATGACCATGGTCTATCCATGGTCTTGACACCGGGTAATTAGCAATTATTGAATGAGGTTGAGCATGATATCAAAAACTGAATTAAATAATTGTTTTATTATAAATTTTTTAGAGGCATTCAGCTATTTTGAGCATCTCTCTTGGTTTGCAAAAGTTTGAGAACACTAAACTTTAAGGTCTTGGAAACTAGGCAGACATTGATCTCGAGAAGATAAATGCAGTATAAGCCTCAGATATTGCATTTTATCATGTCAACTTCACACACTATTGTATATTGATTGAATGCTTTTGACCAATCAGCTTTTTCATTGTAAATCTTATGGATAATGATCAAAATTATTGAATATGTACAGGAAAGTTTTTGTTCTTTTTGCAACCAAGAGAGAACTGGCCATTTAATACTGGAATTGAAATTTTTTGGTGATGTGGTACTTATACATATTAATGAGAAAGATTGTTAATGAATCACAAAGAACTGAGTTTAAAGGTCTCTAAGAATTTGACTTGTATCTTTTCATTGTCAGAGGTTCGGACTTATACCCCTTTGTAAAACTCAGTCACATAAAAATATTTGGCCTTTTCACACATCACGAATAATATCAAAGTTTTTTCACGTTCACACATTTGAGACATTTCACATGAAAGTAAGAGACCAAATTCCCTAACTAAATTTTCAATTTTCCTAGTCTTGAACAGTCTTAAGTGACAAATGATGACAGAATGTCTTATATTATTTGTTCAAGGACCATTAGAGGTCTGTTTTATGACTTCTATTAATCCATGTAAAGTTCATGTCCTGTCACAACCCTGGTCAAAACTTAACCACTACTGTTCGAGAATAATACATTTTTAAAACCATCAAAAAGCTGGGAATTCATCGCGCAAAACAAAATGGTTCACGAATCACGTTTAAATCAGTTCTTCATTCACAGGTCACGTTTAAATAAAAAATATTACTTCACGAGGACCTAAAAAGATCTTATTATTTTTAATCACGATTCAAGAAAAGGAAAACCAATTCAATTCACGATTCACGAGGAAAAAAAATCGCCCAGTCGTGTTTCACATAAAGAGTATACGGGACCCTCTTGTCAATCACTGAAGCAGACAGCGAGCAAGTTTAATTTATTTTATCAAATACCTGACATACCTGCATTTAGATCAAAGCAATCAAGCATCAATTTGGTTTCTTTACAGATTCAAGAGATTTTGAGTTCGTTTCTAACTTCTGTCAGATGAAATCAAGTACACTCTATGGAATTAAGCGAGTATTTTGTCATAAGTTCAAACACTTCCATTGCTTAACGCGAAAAACTGAAAACTGAACAACTACCAGACAGAAGGATTAATGATCAGAGCTGATTGTCTTCAAGACGATCAGAAACAGTTTGTCCCTTTATTCTTTCCATTCCTGAGAGAATCTTCGATCAAAACTTCCCGTTAAGGCCATCTTAACTGACAATCACTGTTTTCCTTTTCCCTGTTGCTGAGAGTGTGTAACTTTAACTCGTCTCATGCAGAAGGCCGACTGAAGGCGCCTTTGTTTTACTTTATCAAAATCGTTATGTCTTCGTGCTTTGCATTTGACGAGTGTCGCTAAAGTTGAAATTATAATAGATCAGAAACCCACACACTCAAAATACAAAGGGAAACCAGCGAATACTGGAGATATCAGAAAGTTTGTGTGAACTGACAGAAATGGCGGCAGAAGCACTTCAGGGGAAATGACTTCAGTTCGATCGAGCGGAGAGTGTGAGTTCTTGGCAGAATTATCTTTGTTCGCGTCGCAGAAGTCTGGCGAGGCTACACTTTACAAGTGAGCTAAATTCTTATCTATATGGAACATAATTCTTACCTCTCAGCAGTGTGAACAAATCCTGCAGTGAACAAACGAAAATCCAAATACAGATCGCTGACAATCTAACGTCTCTGCTCAAGTGGACACTCCTTAATTCACACAATTTATTTAACCTCCTCCACAAAATATTTCAGGCTTCTCAAACGTCACGCGACCAACGGCTTGTTTACATTCAGTTGCCGTGCCGAAAATAGCACGGTAAATAAATTATGACTGATTATGCAATTGAAGCCATGTGGTTACTCAGTATTTGTCACGCAAGGTACGGCTCGCTGTTGACGCTGTCCTTCCGTTGACATACTTTGTTTGGTGCTGGATTCTTATGTAATCTTTAGGCTACCAATTAAAAAAAAAAAAAGTCAAAACAGCCTAAAAGCTTACATCCCCAAGTGTAACGTTGCGTAAATTGAGTATTTCGGGTCTCCTAATTCTTACACTGTTTAACTCTTACTCAAGTAGCGTTATTTCAATTTAGGTAGCGACACTTTTAGTAACAGATCAAGAACAACAACAAGGTCCTATAATGAAAATGTTATTTATTGTAACAAATGGCTTTTTAATGTAATCGAAATAAGCTTTCAAGGGATAGTTAATACAAATATGAGGAAAGATAATGTAGCAATATTCTCCAAAGTTGACAAATGTTTGAATAGGTGAAGAATGTAATAGCCGTTAAAGAAACCAGTTGCGAACCTAAAAAAACTCTGCCAACGATTTCTTTTTGTTTAATACTGTGTGATATCGGGATTCTGATGACTTTTCAACGCAGCAGCAATTCATATGGGGGTCCCCAAAAGAGTTCTTTAATCCCGCGACCCGACTTCAATTTTATCTCAATTCCGTAATCCCGACGGTTTATACCGGCCAATCTCGATATCCTGGTCATAGATTTTTGTTTTATTCCATCCAGCATTGATCCGTTGGAGTCTTTGGTCACCGTAAGGCGTAAGTTTATCTTTTTTCACCCGAACGATATCGTTCATTCAAGAAGTTTTCAAAGTTTTGCACGAATAACATAAGCTAGTCACTATAACGACTTCCATCCGTTTAACTTCGACCCCGGAAAAACATAGTAGTAAAGACAGCTCAGTATCAAAGAAATGAATAACAGTGTCAACAAGTGCTTCCATAACAAGAGAAACAATTAAAGAAAAATTAATTGAACACAATTCTGCTGTTAAAGCGAATACTTCTTCCGAAACAGGAAAAATCTTCCGCGGAGAAAATGAGTCTCTCGTTCCAAAGATAGGGTGACCCGGTCATCACACGCGGTCTCGTCGTCCGGAAATGACTCATGCGATTCTTCATCATTGACGGGGGAATCGTACTCTAATATCCAATATCTCATTTTCCTCTTCGGCTGGTTTTTTTTTTTTTTTTCGCTGCTCCTTAAAGTCAGCGAGTTCGAAGCTGAGCGGTTCACCCAGCTGAATTTCTCTCTGATCGGGGTACGACGGGAGAGTTTCAGCTTTTACCATCTGACGCACTGCTACACCAAATGTTTGTGCTCAGTCCCTCATCTTCTGTATGTTCTGTGGTGCTATTGGTATAGGTGATAACATTTGTATACCGGTATGGCCGACAGGATCATGGCACTTTCGGGTGCAGGATACCAAGACTTTAGATTTGTAAAATAATAGGCCACCCACTGGGTTGTCCCCTTTGAGCCTTCTTTGGCTACATTTTCAAGGTTTCTTGCGTAATTTAACACCGTGCAAAGTGGATATATGTAATAAATGCACAAGCGAGTGAATATTCTCCACGTCTATTGTCATAAGACTCATCAGCTTAAAACATGTTTGTGGGAAGAAGTGAAACACGATCCCATAAAAACATTGGCGTGTGAGGCTTGGCTTTTTTGGACTTTCATATAGATCAATTTCTTTATAAATTCTCGTCAACGGACTTCTCGGTTCTTGGAGCGTTTAAGTGATCGATTCCCGAATTCCGCCTCTTGAAATTAATACCGATTCCTGTGTCCCGTTCACATTAACAATCTCGCATCTCGCTCTCTTCTTACTCTAAATTGCCGGATCCCGGCCTTCAAATAAACCCAATCCCGAATCCCGAATCCCGAAAAACCTATTAGGGACCCTCTCATATCGTTTCCCTTATTGGACTGACTTGGGCTGTTTAAATATAATGAGAACCCCGTCAGTTAATTGCGGGCGATCCTCTTCACATAATGTTTGTCAAAACGAGTCAGGAACTTATCAGGATGCCAGGAGAGCGCATGGAAGCTCCTCTATAATCTCCTGATATTAATTTTCTGCTTTATTGCGAGTATCACCGCGACCATATCTGCAGAAGTACCATTGCCAGACAAGGGACGTCATCATATCTTATCGTTCGAGGAGTTGTCTCCACAAATCTCTTCATTCGATATGATATTCGAATCTACCCCTCACTTTTTTAACTGCCACAGATGGATGTTTTAATTTTGGAAGCAGCTCAGTGCATTTTTTCGAAATAAAAGGTGTTTAACGCCTTGTCCTCACGTAGCGCTTTGCTCATAACTATATCATTGTCACAGTCGCTTCCTCGGCGAGTACCTCCAAAATATATCTGTAAAAGGAAAATTATCGGTTTAACCGAAAGTCCGATTTTTCTCGATGAGGCGCACACATATCCCTACCGCTCTTTTGTTGTGTTTAAGTAAAGAACAACGTTTTACTGAAAAAGAAAGTCAAAGAACTTTTGGTCTGCCCTATATCTGAGCTTATTTGAGTTGCTCTCTCAAACGAGTTGTTTTCGGTGTTTGAAAAACACAAAATCTTGCAACACCTTCCAGTCATCAGAACTAACTACTGATGTCACACTCTATTCGACACGCACAGAAAACGTTCATGTCAAGTAAGATTGACTTCAAGTCCCGCACTCTATTTTCGGCACGCTCAGAAAACGCACATGTTAAGGAAGATTGACCGCAAGTCTCGAACTCTACTCGGCACGCACATAAAACGCTCATAAATCTCACATGTCAAGTGAGAATGACTTATCGCAGCCTATTCGGTGCGCTCAGAAAACGCACATCTCAATTACGGTTGACAACAAGTCTCAGGGTGCGTTCTTTTGGGAGAATCCGGATCAGGATTTCTGATATGTGGCGTTCCGTTTGAGCAAATCCATTTTCAGATCAGTGATCTATCAAATCCACTTTGGATCTGACTTTGGATTTGACTTTGGACAAGGATTCATCGGATCACTAATGTGCGAGATCTAAAGACGGATCATTGGATCATTGATCCAACGTGTTCCTTTGGGCGAAGGATCCGAAACTTATCATTTTGCCCAGCGATGCTCAATTTCAAACAAGTAGGTACTTCATATGTTGACCGGAAAGATTGTTGGCAATCGCTCAACAAATTCTGCGGTAAACACGCAAGAAACTCGATTTTGTAATGTTAAATCGATCGGCCACTGATCGCAGGCATTCAGGGTTCCTAAGTATCCATATCGTAATCAATACTTGCTTCTGCAAGTCAATGGTAGATCTCCCCCCGTTCCTTTGTCCATGAGGCAGACCTAGGCAAGTAGCTAAGAGGCGTTCCAAACAGCTGACTGTAGTTCTTGACATCCGAAAATGACTTAAGAAATCTGAAACACTGTAGAGTGGTTTAATACGTTCAAAATAATTCTCAATGCGGACATGGCTCTGCCTCTCCCTAATCGAAAGAAAAAAAATAAAAATTCTTCATCTTCACTACTTCTCGCTTCTTGTAGTATTGAATCATTAGAAAGTTCCTCTATTAACGAAACAACAGCTGCTCTATCCGCGACGGCCATCCTGTTTTCGTTTTTAAATTCAGCGCGCGATTCCGCTGACGCGCTCTACAATTTCGCGCCTGCTGTCATGGTAACTGATCTGATGAACTAAAGCTCCGTTCCTTTGATGCACCCACAGGCGGCCCAAGCTCCAGCTGTGAGATGATCATCTTGCACAATAACAGTCATGGCGATAAGAGTTTGTATGAGAATATTTACGACCGCTCTAAGGAATAAAACAATACGTCAAATTCTCAATGAAAATAATTCACCTTACTTTCACAGCGTATCACTTGTTATCTGACCGTTTACTTTGATGAAAAGAACCCAATTTAGCGAGTTGTCCATTTCGAGGTTTTCAACTTACATAAGAAAAGCCCAAGGCTGAACACTCCATTTCCAAACGCCCGATCCGAGAAGCGAAAAATCCCAGCGCAAAATGACCGGGCGGCCACAAATCCAACGCAGAATCCAAGCACGCATACTTTAGTTTCATTTCAATTCACTACAAACTCAATCTTCCCCTTGCATCCGACTAAGCCGCAGTTTGCTTCAAAAATTTCCAGTTTATAGGTTTCTAACAGCCCGCGTACACATCAACCTTGACACACGACCGTTAAAAATCAGCTTGTTAACCCTGCCTCCGTTTTAACTGAACCTCGCCGTGGAACACACCGTAACTTGGCACCTGTGTTGCTTGGATTCTGCACCGTGATCTTGGATCACAAATCCTAATCTGGATCCTCCCAAAGAAACGCACCCTCATCCTCTATTCGGCACGCAGAGAAAACGCACATGTCAAGTAAGTTTCACTCAAGTCTCGTGCTCTATTGGGCACGTACAGAAAATGCACATGTTAAGATTGACCTCAAGTCTCGCACTCTATCGGGACTCGGTACAGACAGAAGATTTGTGGATTTTCTTTCCTATTTTAGAACTCTCTCTGGGAAGAATAAATTTCAGTCTCGCTATAGATTCGACACGTACATGTAGCTCTTTTCTCTAACAATCTGTTACTGTTGTAATACTGTTACTGTCACTCGTCAGCTTACCTGACAGCTGCGAATAATAAAGCTTGCCTTACCTGACATGAGGTTACGCGCTTTTAGGTTAAAGTTCAAATCAGGTCGTAACGAGGTGTATGTTTTCGTGAATGATCCAGATATTTTAGGCAAAATTTTAATCCCTGATCCCAGAAGCGATGGGAATTTTGATCCCTGATCCCGCAAAAAATTGTCGATCCCACGAGATTCCCTTTTCATAATTTTCCCTCGTCGTTGTATGACAAAAACGAAACCAATATTGACAACATTTGCGTCAAGATGGAACTGTTTACAATTAATTTTATTAAAAAATGTTTAAAATACAAAA